TCACAAAAATCAGTGGTAAAATAGAGACTTAAAAGATGTAACTTCTCCTGCCCCCAAAACCAGGTAGTCTTATTTTGTTACATTCAACTAAATTATGCTGCTCATTAATGTTTACATTGCAACATTATGGGAAAATGATGTTGATATAAATTTTGTGTAAGGAAAAGGTCTTTAGGTTTTATGTTAAACAGAAAAAAGGCAATATGCAAAAGTGTGTCTGTGCTATAATCTCAATTCTAAAAACAAGCAAAAAAAGACTAAGACAAAGTCAAAAGTTAACAATGATTACTACTGTTACCACTGAGCGGAAATATTACAAGTGATGTTTTTCCTTCATTACAATTTTCAGTTATTTCCACACTGGTACAATGGTCAGAATATTTGGTCATGTGAAATTTATTTCTAAACTTACAAAAATCTTACTAGATCAATATATATATAAACTTTCTACATAATACCTCTAGCCCTGTGATTACAGTCCACCTCATAAAACGGATATTTAAATTCAATTTCTAGAGTAAAATCTAATGTAATACTTCAAAGAATCAAATACTTACATATTCCTCCCTCTCATGATAAATTTCCTGAAAAACATTATTGCGCAGCTGAGTTATTTCTTCTTTTATTTTCTCAATTTGAGAGCCATCAGGGTCATCTGACTTGAATCAGAAAGAAAAAGTGTTTTTTATTAACACAGAGAAAACAAGTCTTCCTTTAAGAATTCAAGTTCTGTAATAAATTACTCTGTGTGGTTTCTATGTATTCTTCAGTACCTAGCACATAAAAGACCCTCCTAATACTTGCTGAATTAACTTAGGTCAATTCATTCTAACAGTGACTTTTCTGAAACCTAGAAAGACGAGTTATAAAAAGTAAAGACATAAAATCAGTTACATAGATTTTTCTTGTCTCTTCTGCTGTAGATTTTCTGTAGGATAAAAATGGCCAACTGCCATTCAAACAAAAGAAATATTAATAATAGCAACCAGAATACACCTGAATTCCCTAGAATTGTCTTCTACATGAGATTTGGTTCAAAACAAAAGGATGAGTTAATGTGTGAACTGTCTCCAGTGATAATACATAAGCCACTTTAAAAAGTATGTAAGCTTTTGTGAAAGGAAAATAAATCTTGGGAACTTTAAATCACTAAGCCAAAGGAAAAAGTCAAGCTGGGAACTGTGTCAGGCAAACCTGCTTCCCATTTTATTCCTAAATAAGATAGCTACAAATATAAAAACCCTGCATACCTTCCTCACAACTCAGTAGGAAATCCCTTATGGACCCCAGGATCTTTACCCTAAAACAGTTCTGTTGAATTTTACTCTGACAATGTAAATTGATAGCTTATTTTCTTAGGTGCAGGGCAAAGGACATCCTTTTGCTCACCTGAGATAAATGCATAACTGATTCCTTCCTCTGATGTAAAAATGCAGATTCACTGAGCTAGCGACTATTCCTCTACCCTTCTCTCAAATTTAAATTGTGTATTTGCTGAAAGGTGATCAAAGACTAAAGAATTCACACCATCTGTCTCTTATCTACCCATATCTTTTTAAAATTTCTTCCTCTTTCCCCAGTATCCATTCTTTCTCCTTTAAATACTGAAGCCCTCACAACCATCTCTCAGAAAAGCACAGACCTGCCTCCCAGGCATGCATCCTTAACCTTGGCAAAATAAACTTTCTAAATTGATTGATAGCTGTCTCAGACACTTTTGGTTTACACTTTAAAAGTCAGATTTCAAGGATCCGGATACTAAGATGGCCAAACAGGAACAGCTCTGGTCTGCAGCTCCCAATCAGATCTACGGAGAAGGCAGGTGATTTCTGCATTTTGAACTGAGGTACCCAGCTCATGTCATTGGGACTAGTTAGACAGTGGCTGCAGCCCACAGAGGGTAAGCGAAAGCAGGGTGGGGCGTCACCTCACCCAGGAAGCACAAGGGGTTGGGGAACTCCCTCTCCTAGCCAAGGGAAGCTGTGAGGGACTGTGCCATGAGGAACGGTTCATTCTGGCCCAGATACTACGCTTTTCCAATAGTCTTCACAACCCACAGACCAGGAGATTCCCTCAGGTGCATACACCACCAGGGCCTTCGGTTTCAAGCACAAAACCGGGCAGACATTTGGGCAGACACTGAGCTAGCTGCAGGAATTTTTTTTCTTACCCCACTGGTGCCTGGAACACCAGCGAGACAGAACCGTTCACTCCCCTGAAAAGGAGGCTGAAGCCAGGGAACCAAGTGGCCCTGCTCAGCAGATCCCACGTGGAGCCCAGCAAGCTAAGATCCACTAGCTTGAAATTCTCACTGCCAGAACGGCAGTCTGAAGTCAACCTGGTTGGGGGAGGGGCA